GGAACTATGGGTGGAATGTAAGAATGAAATATTTTTTTTATATACGGGAGTGGAAACCTCTCTATAACAAACAAACGCATTTGGTAAATCTGGAGTGAAAACTCAAAAATCACAATATATTGGTAATGGTGGGCTTGAGCTATTATACTTTCCATTCGTTTTTAATTAGGTAAAGAATATAGCAGTAGTAAGCAGTTTGTTCACATGAGTTAAACAATCACCCCGAACTATCACGTTTTCCACGAATTTTCAATTAGATAAAGAATATAGGAGCAGTAGTTCTTCTTCGTATGAGCTAAACAATCACTATGAATATGTGCTCCCTTCTCGTCTCTATTCATTTGGTTAGCAATTCTACCTCTAAATATGTATTTTTTTACCGTATTACTATAGAAGATTATTATTGATCAGTGCATTATTGTAATGCCTCAATCACTTTCTTATGATACATTGCTAATCAATTCGACAAACCAATTCTTGTCAAATTTTAATCATTTTTTTTCTGGTAACTATGCAAATGTCCCACACATACTTATATAATTGAAATAGTAACATCAAATTTTGAACAAATCCAAAGCTCAAACCTTATCTCATAATTAAATGGGAAGAAATGTCCACAAAGTATGATGGTGATTATTACGAACTTTGGTTTGGTTGATTAAATAGAAGATATTGTGTTGTTGATAAGACAACAGGGGAATTGGATTATGAATTGAAGTGCCACAAAGAAAGCTTGTTGGGCATTACCATCGGTGGTGGGTTGGGCGAGCACGTAGCCATTCTCTACGCCACAACCCTAAAGTCGCTTCTTCCACGCCACACCACCACACACACCAACCCAGTTTCATTGGATTCCAATGGCATAATAATGCTTTTTATCGCTTTTTTTTTTTTAGTATATTTAAAAAAAAAAAATGAATGGAATTACAACGAACTCAACAACACTGTTGACCTGGGAAAGTGAGAATTTAAAATTATCTCTATTAATCTTTTTCAAAAATATAAAAATATTTTAACCGGACACATTGATATACATGAATAATATTAAATTTTGATCATGGTTGGAGTATAATTACAAAAATAAGCATTTGGTTGGACTAATAATTTTATAGTTAGAAGGAAGGGGTAGGTTGAATAGTATTTAACTCAATTTTAATTAGGACAGTTTAGTGTTTACCTACTTCAAATTTGGTATTAAAACACACCATTTATGGAGTTGATAATAACACGATAGTTGGAACAATTAATTTGGAAGTAAATTCTTTTAATTGGTCGTGGGATCTTGTAATATAAATTTAATGATAAAAGATGGTGTGTAAATAATGATAATGATCATGATTCAAAAGAAGGAGGAGTCCAAAGTGTGTTGTCAAGTATGTTTCTTGGCCATCTCCGCCCTCCAAGAATTTTCCTCTTTTTTTCACTCACTTCCCTATTTTGGAGTGCCTCCAATGACTAAACCCCAAATTTTTGTCATCATTCCTTCAAAACAAGGGAGAGTAAGTAATTCTGAAAGCAATAAAATAAGCTTTGAAGATGTAGACTCCACGCATTTACACGCAATCCCTGAAGTCATGTAATTAGCTGTATGGTTGGAGACATAAATGCAGTTTAATGGTAGACTCTCTAATTAACAAACCAGGAGAAAAATAACAGGGTTGTATTGTAAAGTTTAAACTTAGGTCTAAAATGATATTAAGCCCGATGGAGATTTATTATATAGTTTTTAGAATTTTGAGATAAAATATGCAATGAAATGTAGTAATAGTAAAGATGTGGAATTATGAGTTAGAGGGGGGGAAAATCAAGAAGGGCGGCTAAAAACCAGAGTTGGTGGTCGTGGTAGAAGACGAGCCGCGTCGACTCGCGGCCTCTAGTTTTGGATTTAAAACAGAGAGGGCCCACCTCATACAGTGTTCTTTAATATTGGGTGTCAACGTCAGCCGATGCTCGCCACACGCTTCGGCTTTGGGCGCTCCGCCGTTAGCCCTACCCCTCCCCTACTAACTCTCATTCCCATTATTGCCTTCACTTTTACTTACTACCCTCGTCTTTCATTTGATAATAAATCTTCTAAATTTAGGCCCATGTTCAAGCCCATGCCTGATACCCACCCACCTAACCCCAACTCTTATGTAAGCCCATGGCTAATACCCACCCAAGCCCACACGAATCAGAGGAAGCCTTTTCTTTTCATTAACTTTATTCCTTTATAACTCCAACCTCCACCCTTTTTATTATCATTACATCAACTAATACCCATTAAAGAAATGAAAAGTGAAAGCTAATTCGTGTTGTTGTCACTTAGTTATAATTATTATTATTTAATAGTATATGGTTAAGTTTGTATTTTGTATTATAATCTGAACATAGTTGAAATAAAAGGGTGAGGAGTAAGATGGTAATTATCATCATTTAATACATAAAAAATGAAGATGGCGTAGAATTATTAGAGAAAAGCTGTGTGATTTGCAATGGCCACCACACCATAATTGCGTCACAGTCTCAGCTGTGATCCACATCGACAACAATTGTATCTGTAAAAAAAAAAAAAAAAAAAAGGATTCAAAAGCAAAAAGGAAAAGTGAAAGAAGACGACGATGAATCGGGCACGCACAGTTAGAAACAAAGAGAAAAGGAAGAAACAGAGTAGACCCTTACAAAAGAAAGATGATTTCCATAATGTCCCTCAATTTCGTGGCAACCCATCATTGCTTCTTCGTCTCCTTTTTCCCCTTTTAATCTCTCCATCACTTCAAAAAATAAATCGAACCTTACCGGAAAATCCCTCTCCATCAAATTCCCCATTCCCCCCTGTTTTTCTTCTGTTTTCCAACGATGGGAATGATGTCGCCTGAGCACACGGCGGCGATCCCCTTCGACTTCCGGGCTCCCCCGCCCTCCCCTATCAACACCAGCCGTCGCTCCTCCGTCACAAACGACGACGTTCTCACCGACTTCCTCGAGCACTCTCTCCGCGTCCCCAATCTCGTTTTGCCCGAAAACATTTTCCCGAGACAGAGATTCATTCAGACCCCACCCAGGATTGATTTTCGATCCATTGAATCGTCGGATCATGATTCTGTTGTAAGGATTTTGGATTCAATGGGCAGCATTGGGTGCTTCCAATTGGGGAACCATGGGATTCCAACGGAGCTGATTGGGGCGGCTGCGTCGGCGGCGGCGGTGGGGGTTTTTGGGATATCGCGGGAGAAAAAGATGGTGGTGACAAGGTCCCCGGAGAAGGGGTATGGGTTTGAGGAGTATTGGGATGGAGAGGATGAGAGTGAAGTGAGTGAAGAATTTGTGTGGAGCAGAGATGAAGGTCTGAGGAAAGAGATGGAGGGCATTTCGGGATTTGGATATTCGGATTTCAGGTATGTTCTGTTTCTTTACTATTTATCATCAATTCCAATATTCACCCCACTAATCTGATTTGAAAATCTCTGGCAGCAACAAAATGGAAGCACTGACACAAGTAACAGAGAAAATGGGGGAGAAAATCGTTAAAATTTTCCGGGAAAATTGCGGGAAAGTGGCAGAGAAGGAAGTGGGTTCGGGGCAGGGATCAGTGTGGTGTGTGTACAAGCAGAAGCAGAATGACGAACTGGAAAAGTGTTTGAAACATGATGTGATGAGAATGCTTATAAGAGGAAGTGATTTGTCTCATGCCTTGTGCTTCCATTTCTGGCACGGATCTTCGTCTTCTTGTGTATTCCATGTTTGCTCCAAGAGAGGTTGGGTTTGTTTTGTACCGGAGGAATCCGCGATTATGGTCACCGTGGGAGACCAGATTCAGGCATGGAGTGGGGGGCAGTACAAGCATGTGATTGGTAGGCCAATTTACAAAGAAGAAAAGGGGAATAGCATCAATAATGGCATTGGCATATCAATGGCTTTTCTTTTTGCTCCGACCTCTTCTCCCTCCCATGCCCCCCCCACTCTTTCATTGCCCCATCAAGCTCTATTTGCTCTCTTCTTAATTCTTCTTTACAACGCTTTCCTATACTTTCTCACTTAAACTTCCTTTCTTTTTTATTTATTTTATTTCTTCTATTCAATCTCTCAATCATTCCCTCAACACAGACTTCTTTGCTTTCGTGTACTCCTTTTCCTTTTTATTATACCATTTTCTTTTTGTTTGCTGCTTCAAATTATGTCCTAATAAACACTACTACACTCATACCTATCAACTTTTAATTACTATAATAAAGTTTATTACAAATAAATTCTAGTGTTATAACACATCAGGATTTAATACCCCAATAATATATCCCTATAATTGAGTTAAACCTTATAAACTTGACACGTTTTCTATATGTAGCACTTCAAAATACAAATTATTTTGTATTAGAAGATCAAAATAAATATTAATTTTCAATCATCTTATTCTTAGTAGAGTGCCGTATGGAAAAGAAATGGCTTTTAGAAAATGAGATTGAGTTAAGTAATAATAACTGTAATTTCATTAATATATTAATGTTGTTATTATTTTGTTATTTGATTTCGTAACGCATGTGAGTAAAATAAATCTAAAGAAACAAAAATTACTACAAATAACTTACCAAATATAATAATTACAAAACTAATTGAATGAAGCCATACTTTTTTAATAATAGAATGTTAACATTCAAATAATATAGAAAATTTAAAAATTAAAACGGGTGAAGAGTCATTAATTATTAGTACATTAATCTACGTAGGTAAGCACATATTAGCATTAAATGAATTAATAATAGTAAGAGTTGTTTTTCTTGTCCAAAGATATACAAATACATAAATATATATATATATATATATATATACATACATGTGTGTGTGTGTGTGTGTGTAAAATTATTGGAAATCCTAAAAAAGTCTTCATCTGGGGCTTTCATTAGGAATTAATGTCAAATTATAGAAGGTTTGGTTGGTTAGAAGTCGCTTTGTTAGGAGCCTACCAATTTTTATTTTTTTATATAATATAATGTTCTATACAATACTCTCACATGTCACTTTGCTCGTCTTCTTCTTCCTCTTGTGTCTGGAAATTCTTTTCTTTCTCTCGGCATCAATGGCGGAGGCAAGCAATTCGAATTTAGAATCTGAGAGTACAGAGATCAAAAGGGGAAATCGAAAGCACCAAATTTACAGAGGCGTACGGAAGAGAAGTTGGGGCAAATGGGTGTCGGAGATTCGTCAGCCCAGGAAGAAATCTCGGATTTGGCTAGGGACTTTCACCACGCCGGAGATGGCAGCACGTGCACACGACGTGGCCCTGCTCAGCATCAAAGGCGATTCCGCTAAACCGATTCTCAATTTCCCTCAACTCGCCGGTTTGCTTCCCCGCCCGGTCTCCTTAATGCCCAGAGATATTCAGGCTGCGGCAGCCAAGGCGGCGGCGATGGTCGATTTTGATTCAACCATGCCCACAACTTCGTCGTCCAACGATGAAGAAGGGTCGGATGAATTGGGGGAGATTGTGGAATTGCCCAATATTGAAGAGGAAATCAGCGCTGAGTCGTGGAACAAATTCGAGTTGGTTGACTCGGTGGATTGGTGGGGGAATCCGCCGTACACAGTGGCGGAAACTGATTTCGTTGGAGGGTTTTCCTATCAGAGTACGATTCCGGTCATCTTCGACGGCGGCGATTGGGAATGAAAAATAAAATAAATAAATAAATTGTCAGCCTTCCACATTAAAGAGAAAGAAAGAGAAATGAGAAAGATAATTAATTTGAAATTAAACTAATTAGGTTGCGTCTAAATCTTCATCAAGTAAGATTTCAAATTTGAAATTAAACGGAGTTCGGAGCGTCTGGAGTCAATATGAAGTGGATCATCCAAATCTGGCTTCTTTTTTTTGTTTCTCCCAATGAAAATGTGAAAATGATAATATGTTGTACTAGGACACGACAGTTTAAAATCTGAGGAACTTAGATGAGAAAATCCAAAATTCGAATTTAAAAAAATGGGTAATTCCATTAATATTGTGTTGGGAACTTAGAATTGGGCCATCGTATAGTAGCCATGTCATTAAATGAGGCCCCAATTGAATGCTGGGCCATTCTTTCTAAGGGGACTGGATTGCGTGGGCAAATTCAGCTGGGAATTAAAAGAAAAAAAATATGATGACGACATTGAGATAAGAATATAAACGGAGCATGTGTACTTATATTGTATACTTGGGTGCACGCTTTATTATTATTATCATTATTTACTTAAGTAACTAATATATAATTAAAGGAAAAACCTGGAGGACCCATGGATAGGGCATTGTCGAGGATTGGGTGGACAGGGGTAACATTCCTCAATGTGAGCGTACCTCCATTTCCTTTTTACAATTAATTAATTGATTGATTATCATCCCTCACATGTGTCATGTGATGTGGCCTAAGCAATCTCATTTATTTTTAAATAAATAAATATGTATTGAAATGGATTTCTTTTGTTTGCATTTATTTGGTTTTTAAATTGGGGTTGCATGTGCGTATCTGATGTATTAAATTATTAGTTAACGGTGGTATAAAAGAGTTTCATAAAGTTACGAATATAGTGACCCTTACTTATTTGTATGGTATTAATAACTCAATTTAAGATTTACCCAATAAATAGTTTCCCTGTGAAAATGAAACAAATTAATGTTATTAAAAAAACAAAAGAAAAAGATGCTTGAAATAAATTAATTAGTTTTAAAACTCCGTACATCCACTCAGTCCCACCATAATCATTGTCCCCTCTTTCTCACCGCCCTCAACTCCAAAGGTTTTTACTTGTGGCATGGTAAATAAAATAAAAAAGTACACAATCTATTAATTCCTTTTTCCTCTCTTTTCTTTTCTTTTCTTTTTTTCTTTTTCCTTTTATTTTACTGGAAAAATCTACTACAGCATGTGCCTGAAATCACCGCCGTTAGGACGGTGGATCAAATACTCATCACAACCGTTGGATCTGCCGAATATCGAACCTTGACTTAAAAACTGCTCTTGCTGTTGCACCTCCTTCTGCCGTCGCAGCTCCATCACTTTCCGGTGAGAATTCGAGTGCTTCGTCGACACATATGTCGGGCTCGCAGCGGGTCGGTATTCAGGTACGAGTCGCCCCGACTTGTACCGAACCCCGCAAGCGTTACACAGCGTTTTCGGCCCAGTTGGCCCAGTCCGCCACTGCGGCGTCTTCTCCGCCGCGCAATGCAGGCATTTCCTCCCAGACGGCGACGTCGTTTCCGACTTCACTGGACCCCCCGCCTGGAGAAGGCGCGTGGACCAGTCGCAAGGAGAACCGCGTGACCGCTTGCTTCGAGCCTTTCCGGGGAGAGCTTCGTGTTCGAAAAATGAAGTCGTTTTTACACTTCCATAACCAAATGCCGTGGTGCCGGAGGACGACGGCGTTTCTGGATACGCCGCCGTGCCGGTGAGGAACGGAATAGGTGGAAAATCCTTTTCAATCTCCTCTGTCGAAAATGAATCCTCAACGAAGTTCGAAAGCCATTCGAGTTCCGCCAAATCGTCGCGCTAAGGGGGGGTAAAAAAAAGAAACAAAATTATAATCACAAATTTCTCTTCTAATTCAACAATCGAACTAAGGAGTAACAAATTCTAGTTCAACCAAAATATTGAAATACCGGAATACAGAGTTCGGTGGAGAATTGAGCTTCACCGAAGCTCGCAGAGCCAAAATTCCCTAACGCCTGATTATCGCCGCTAGAAATTGATGAATTGCAGCTCTCAATCGCAGTGACCGTGGACGAATCACTGCAATTTCTGGCGACGCTATCGAAGAAGCCGCTATTGATTGCCACATCGTCATTGGAGAAGTCCAGTAGATATTCATCGACAGCAAAATGGTCAGCAGAGGAATGGTGCTTCTCGGGCGAAAATTGAGAGGCTCCGGCGCCATAGAAGCCACCAAGGAGATACTCCGGCACCTCCATTGAAGCAGAGCAGAGTTGGAGAGGAGAGTAACTAGAGTTGCAGGAGAGAGGAGTGAAATGAGGGGTTTATGAGAAGGCGGAGGAGGGGCGTAAGTGCAAATATGAAAAGTTGGGGGCATCTTTTATGCATGCAGATAAATATGAATTTAATAAAGGGCATGTGACATGAAGGTTCTGTAAAGTTATTATTAACTTAATTTGTATTATTTTTCGTTTTGGGGCATCTAATTCTAGGCCACGGGCACTACTACTGACTTACTTACTTACTTATCCTCTCCCTTGTGTTTCATTTTCTGATTTTCTATTTTCTTTTTAATATATAAATGTAATTTAAAAAGAAAAAAAAAAAAAAAAAAAAAA